TTGATCAAAATATCATCACAATGTAAAGATTAAATTAATAATTAACATACATCCATCCGTAACTAACGTGAATGAACAAAAATGAACAGGAAATGAGTAGACATAGTACCCGTACATTTAAAATGACCGATGCCGTTTTGGTCTGAGCAAGCTGTGCTGCTGTCTTTTTCACCAGAAATTGATGTACAAATCAATCATATTTTATCCAAAAATATCACAATGTAAAGATTAAATTAACAATTAATATCCATCCATTTATAACAAACGTGAATGAACAAAAATGGACAAGAAATGAGTAAAAATAGCACCCATACATTTAAAACGACTAGATGCCGTTTTGGTCTGAACAAAAAGTGATGATGTCATATTTATCAAAAATCTGTCTGAAGTAGCTATCATATTTTGTCGGACAACTATCACAATATATCAAAAATCATCATAATCTATCACAATTTCAAGATTATATTAAACAAAAAAATGTTATATGCATCTGCAACTAGTGTAGATCATTTTTGAAAGTTAGACGATTATGGCCCCTCTGGTCACACCTACTACATTTACGAATATTTTTTCCTTCTCATCTTGATGGAATTCGATGGTTTTTTGGACGTCCACTTTGTCTTCGATTTGAAAGGGGTGGTAACACCTTTTGGCTGATTGGAGATTTTCCAGTTAGCCTCATTTGTCACTGGATATATACATTCAGCATATGCTTGTTTCCAACTAGCACTGGAATAATAGGGTGAGCACAAATTGTAACAAGATATTTTCTTAAATTTCGTTGCTGCAAGTGCATGTTTGCAAGGAAGCTTTTCCAAATCAAATTTCTTACAACTACAGGTTCTTGTCTCCAAGTTCACAATATGCATTTCATTCTCAACATCGACGTGCAATTTATACTCATTTATTGGTACCACTATCAGTCCCTTTGCATCATCATACTTTTTACTCATTTTATCCTCAATGGACGGGGTTAGAGTAGTTGCACATTTTTCAGCCTCAATGTGTCTCTCATAAAACTATTTCTGTAAAGTTTTTCTTATTTGCTCAACGATAGCAAGTACTGGAAACTCTCGAGCATTCTTGAATAACGAGTTCAAAGATTTTGCATTGTTAGTTGTCATAATATTGTAACGGATTCCTTTGAAATATGCTCGGGACCAAAATTCATACCTAACATTCTTTTCTAGGTATTGTTCAACTGCCGGACTTTTACGATATAGATTTGCCATTGATTTTTCAAAATTAATCAAACTATACTCCTTTGCAGTTGCCATAAATAATGGCAGAATATCGGTCTTATGATAATTTGACTTTAGTTTTAGTTTAGATGCTACATGCAATATCCATGATGTGCATAAGGATAAACAATCTTTATAGCATTACCAATGCTATCCTTGTGATCAGAAATGAAAACAAGCACTTCCAACATACCCGTTACCTAAAACAACTTATCGAAGAACCAAGTCCATGAAGCATCATTTTCAGAATCAACAATGCCAAATGCAAGAGTATATATCTGAAGATTTACATCTTGACACATGGCAACAAGCAACGTACCTCGAAATTTGGATTTCATAAATGTTCCGTCCACAGAAATGACATGTCTCATTGATGAGTGAAAACCACGTATGCTTGGTCCTAAAGCCATAAAAAAGTATTTGAATCGGTTCTCATTATCAACCTCAATGAACGTCACTATACCGGGATTATTTTTCTTTAGAATATTGCAATACTTGGCCAATCTATCACAACTAAGATCAGGTGAACCTCTTAATAGCTCTATAGCACATTCTCTAGCCATCCATGCCTTATAATAATTTATATCTATGCCAAACTCTCGACGAATATCATTTTGAATATTTGAAGGTCTGTATATAATGTTGGGATCCTCAAACTTCGACATGATGTGTTTTCCAATCATCCAACAACTATCTTGTCTATGATCTTTGTGGCGAACATCCATTGAATAATTATGATAACGTGAATACTTTCGAATGTCAAATTCATCACTTTCCTTCAATCGTGTTGCCCGCAAATGCCATTTGCAAATTTCCTCAATCCAAACTACTACATATGTACTCTTATTTGACTTAGTGACCTTAAATTCAAAAGAGTTTCTTACAGCAAGCATTTGTAGTGATGCCTGAAGATTCTTCTTGTTGCGAAAAATTTGGCTAACGTGCGCATCATCGACGTCAGGAATCTTAACTAATGTTCCACAAGGATTCGAACAGGCAACAACTTGAGAAATGCTAATGATCTCATCTACCAATGTAAAAGGTGTATTATGAGTAACATTGTCTTCATTTATCACATGAGAATCATCTATGTAGTTGCCATGTACTACTTCTACCCCATCCCGGTAATCATCACTTGTAAAGTTCACACAATCATTTTCACAATTTTGATTACATGGAGACAACGGTCACATATAATTGTCATCGGACTGATCTTTTTGCATATTCAATTCATCCATGTCCACCGCATTGTTAGTTGCAACAACATTTGAATTGTATTCATGATTCTCCTAAACATTTACAATATTAACATCCATGTCTTATTGATCAACATTACCCTTTTCTACAAGAGTTACACAAATTGGAACTTTGTCATGCAAAGAAAGAAACCAACTAATATCCATATCGCAAGTAATCTTCGTTGGCAGAACTGATAATTTTGCCATGCTGGAAACGATAAATTTCGTCTTGATGTCATACATATTGGGATCAACCTTAACTGCTTTTCGGACTTCGTTATACAACTCTGCATATGAGATTGTTTTTTATACAAAAATATTTGTTGCAGTGTCTTCATCATTCCCTATCCATTTCCAAATTCATCTGCCTTCATCACTCTTTTCAAATTTAACAAAATAACAAATAACAATCATTACACCAGAGTTCATATCTGCAATTCAACAAAAAAATATATTACTCCATTAATTGTTAAAACTGAATACTATAAATTATAGCTTCAATAACAAATAAAATGTCACTCATATTGTTACATAACATATTTAAGCATAACAAAACGGCATTCTGTAGTTTAAAATATGTATGTGCCATTTAAATTTATTTATAATAATGAAATGCTATAAAAGAATGGAGAAACAACTAATTTGCCAACAAGTATATCGATACCATTATTGTCGTATTAAAACGGCAGCCAGCGGGGAAAAAAGGGCACCCAACTACTGAGAAACGGCACCATTTCGTTTCAATATTTTACAGCAAATTTTCATTACCTAATTGATTTTTCTCATAGTATACAACTAGAAAATAACAAATTGATAATTTTCAATTTATGAAGCTCAACTTCAACGGTATGAAATCGATTCTTGCTAACCCACCTCCAAAATTTGCACTTTTTGATTTGTTATTGGTTCAAGAAAAGGAATTTCAACATGCAATCATTCATTATAAGCAAGAATAATACATATGAAGAAGAATAAAGTTGAATTTGAAGGTGGGTTTAATATGGTGAAAATGGACTTGGAAACAAGAAAAATGAAAGGGATTTAGGGATTTATATTTGAGGATTTGGGTAATATCGATCTTCAAATTGGACATTTTAATCAGCGGCGGACCCAGACCTTTAGTATTGTGTGGTCAAAATTTTAAAAATATTTTTTTTAATAAACAACATAATATCAATGAAAATAAATTTATATGTATTTTGACACTTTAAAAACGTCGTATAATTACATCATTATTAATATTATTAAATAAATTTTACTAATTGTATAGTTTTGTTTATCATTTCATTAGCAAATGCTGAGCTAATATTGAGTTAATTAAATTGAATATAGAAATTAAATGAATTGAAATAAAATTCAAGTTTAGTTTAAGAAGTAAATGAAATTAAAATTTAAAGTAAATATAATTCGAAAGTAATTCAAATTGCATTTAATCCGTAACTACCCTAAAAAATTTACGTCATATTTCATGTAAAACTTCCAAATGAAACAATATAAATTATATTGAAAAATTTATTGTGCAAAAATAATAATTAATTGATTTTTTTTAAAACAAAAAACGAGTTAGACGTCTTTTTTGAGGCGTACGTTTGATATATATTTAACTATTTTCGATATCCGTTTGGATCATTCGATATTAAAACGATGTAGTTTTCGAAACAAAATTTTTACATGACATAGACGATTGTGGATTCAGATGGCATATGATTGCAAACGAATTTTTAAAGTTAGGATATTATTGAAATTCTTAAAATACTAGTTTCAAACGCTCTACTTTAACACGTCATAACTTTTGCTATAATCGACCACTTCGCATGTTATTAATGAGTGAAAAAATAGGTCATGAGCATTTCAAAATATTATGGGGTCACATGACCCCATGTGGGTCCACCCCTGATTTTAATCATTTCAATTTAAAAGTATTTAAGACTTTTAATATATAATCAAATAGACTATAAATTATTTGAACAAAAAGTATTAATATATACTATTTTACCAAATATTATAGTTGACTAGCTTCTTAAACAAGCCCCCCTTTACAATATAACCACTGGCGTTCACATTCTCCACGGTAATGAAGAGGAGAGCACGGTTTTTTAACCTCTGGAAGATGATGGAGTACATTTCCGAGGTGCGTAAAGATGATGGAGTACATTTCCGAGATGCGTAACTCGATAAATTTGTCGCCATAATTCACTGCTTCTCTACTTTTACTGCATACTTTTCTCTGCCTACTCGGGACCCAGATATGCGTCTTTATATATCAGACTACAATTCTAAGCTGCTCTCTCGATATCTGCGTGCGTTAGTGCGCTCTCTCTCTCTCTCTCTCTCTCTCTATTGCCTTCCAAATGTTCCCTTGCCTTCCAATAATAAATCCTTGCCTTCCAAGAGCCCCATGTTTCGAACTCACGACCTCTGCTCTGCCAGATTTGACAGCGTCCGTCCTTTGCCAATGGAGAAGTGCCTTGGGGGGCCTGGCGTTCACATTCTCCACAGTAATGAAGAGGAGAGCACGGTTTTTTAACCTCTGGAAGATGATGGAGTACATTTCCGAGGTGCGTAACTCGATAAATTTGTCGCCATAATTCACTGCTTCTCTACTTTTACTGCATACTTTTCTCTGCCTTCTCGGGACCCAGATATGCGTCTTTATATATCAGACTACAATTCTAAGCTGCTCTCTCGATATCTGCGTGCGTTAGTGCGCTCTCTCTCTCTCTCTATCTATCTAGATATATACAAATACTGTACTTCACTGCTTCCTTTCCCTTCCCTTCCCTTCCCTAGCCTTTTTCTTTCTTTTCCTTTGTTTATTCTTCTCCTTCCTAGTGACCACGTGATTTTCGGACTTGAAAATCTGTTCATGTCTATTTTTCTGGGTTGGAAGATCTTAATTTAATGCTACATTAATGGTGATTCACGGCACAAGGGGTGTTTATTGTGTTGTGGATTATTATTCTTGAATCATCTTGGGTTTATGATTTTATCCAATCTTGTGTAATTTAATTCTTTGTTAAACTTTTCTGCTTTGGATTTTGAGAGTTGATGTGGGTATGGCGGGATATGAGAAAGGTACAGGTTCACATCAGGTTCCCAAAGACTCACAGGAAAAGGACCAGAAAGCAGAATCCGACACGGCGGCCACCACCAGTTCTGGTGGCACGCCCAACAACAACCGCCGTCCTCGTGGCCGACCTCCTGGTTCCAAGAACAAGTCCAAGCCTCCTATAATTGTCACACGAGACAGCCCAAATGCTCTACGAGCTCATGTTCTTGAAGTTTCAGCTGGAAACGATATAGTGGAGAATTTGGCTGTTTATGCACGGCGGAGGGGAAGGGGAGTTTGTGTTCTAAGTGGCAGCGGCGCTGTCGAAAATGTCACGCTCCGTCAACCCGCCGCCGCTCCTGGCGGCAGTGTGGTCACACTGCCTGGCCGATTCGAGATACTTTTGTTATCCGGGACGGTGCTTCCGCCGCCTGCCCCACCGAGTGCCGGGGGGCTGTCGATATTCTTGTCCGGCGGGCAGGGGCAGGTGGTTGGTGGTAGTGTGTTGGGGCCTCTAATGGCTTCCGGCCCTGTAGTGTTAATGGCTACTTCGTTTGCAAATGCGGTTTTTGAACGCTTGCCGTTGGAGGAAGAGGAGGGTATTGCCGCTCAGGTTCAACCAACGGCGTCGCAATCTTCAGGTGTGACCGCCGGTGGAGGTGGCCGGAATGGCACTGAGGGTGGCGATAACGGCGTTGGTGCAGGTTTAATGCCTCCAAATTATCCATTTCAAGCTGATTTGCAAGTGTGGGGTGGAAGGTCTTCAGCTTAACCATTTCTTGGTATTTACTATTTCGTGGTGTATTCGTGCTTTGATTTAGTAAAAAATGCAGGTTAGTGGTGAAAAATGGGATAATTTCTGGTGATTTTGTAGCATTTTCTCGTGACTAAAAAGTAAAAGTGGGTTGAATCTTTAAATATCTACTTTATTTGAAAAAATTAAAATGTTAACTTATTAAAAAAAAAAAGTTGAATTCCATCCTTGAGGGTCCTACCGTCCCAACCCGAGGTAAATCGCGGGATGTGTCCCAACAGGTCAGGAAACAAGAACTGTCTGTACACTGAAAAAAAATGTTAATTTATTATTTAGTAAACAATGTGACATGTTAAAAACATGCTTTCGTTATATTTATGGACTCATTCAAATAATAATGGGCTCAAGACATCAACATAGAAAATCAATCTCTTCAAAGAGCAACTCTTAAAATATTGAGTTGGAATTTCATTTTAACTAATGATTCTTATGGTTTTGAACGTTTTAGTTACAGTAGAGTTTTCAAATACGCTGTTTGTACAGAAAACTATTTTACGGATTTTTATCAAAAATTTCACGTGTGATATCCATGTTGTGATTAAAAAATGCCAAAAATATCTTCCCACTCATCCCTTGTCGTGTCTATTCTGTGCAGTTTCTGGCAGTACAGTAAGGTCCATATTACCATCTTTTCGTCTTTTAATTTTAAGAATGCTGTTTTTAAGAATGAGAAATTGTCATTCTTTGATTCTTACCATTAACAAGAGAGAAAAAACAATTATGTCTTTTTATTTTTTTATTAAATATATTTTTTCTATCTTCTTTTCAATTACATATTTTTTAATAAAATAACATTATATATAAATTCAATTTTTTTTTTTATTTTTTAATCATACATTTTTCGTCAACCTATTATTCTAAAATCCATTATTAAAAAATAGTGTGGCTCAAACAGCCCATATTATCATAAGACTGTGTGCCTAAAGAGAATCTGCAAAATCGTATTACTTTTTCATTTACGAAACTAATTAATAAAATTAAAGATTTTATATTATTATCGTACAATTCTTTTCACATCTCTGTCTTTGAATTTGCTTTCAAGTGGTTTTATTCTTTACTACTTCTTGTATTTTTATGGGACTTTTATATATTTACAGCAATGCCACTGAGCACGCAGTCTGCGTGCACCACCAGTGCTTCCAAAATTTCATGCTAATGGACAAAGACATGATTCGATTTTACGTACGCGTACCTCTTGCATTCGAGTTCCGATCATTTTAACAAAACATCTTGTACAGTTAAATTCATCTAATCGTGAAGTGACGGATGGTTTCAAATATAACTTGACTTTGAGTCAACTAGGGTTTCACATATTTTTTTTGTAGCGAAATGGTCAAATTATATTTTTATCTATGAAGAATTATGATTTTTTTAAGGTTTGGGTGCAGTTTGATTTGAATTGATTTCGACTCTAATTAGAAACCAAAACCAAATTAATCGGTTTAGGTGAATTTCAACTCAAATCAACTCATGCTAACTCCAAATTGAAAAAAAAAAAAAAAAAAAAAGCTGTTTGAATTTTGAGCTCACTTTACAAGAACTAAAATAAATAAATAAATTTATATTACAAAAATTATTAACTATGAAGTAAATTAGGTTAATAAACACAAATCAACAGAAAGTTTAAGAATTTTGTAGTTTTTTTATATATTGTGTAGTTGACTGCTTGAGTAAGATAACATAATGAGCTTGCGAAAGAAGATTTTCAATGTTATTACGTACTAGCAACATTATAGATTGAAAGGAATAGAAATATAGTTATGAGATGATGCTTATCTTTTGATTTTTATTTTTCTTAAAAAAACAAAAAGATTAAACATGTGAGTTCGGTCGATTCAGTTAACAAGCGGTTTGAGGTTTCAAATCATGGTTGAATCGACCCACCATGATTTTATTTTAAAATAATAATAATAGCCAAACTAATTACTTGCGTCAAATCGACTAGTTGATTTACTTTGATTAGTTTGATCAATTTTTCGATTTTTTTTCCAAGCCTAAGTTTTACCTACTTTTATACCTTTTTTATCCTATCACATGCTACTAATAAGCACTTAAAAGAACTACAGAAAAATTGGACAATACTACTAAACAATATTAATTAACAAAAAAGTAAATCTTTACTATTTATGAAGTATAATTTCCTCATTCGAATAGTATATGGATATTTGCACTTGCAATTTTACCTGAATGAATATGAACAACGTAACGAGATGATCAACAAGATCAAAATGTTGATTCGAGCTCACTGACTTCACAATGTGTCTCTAAAACAAATTTGCTCACTTTTATGATAGATACTTAAAGACATTCAACAATCGTCTTTTAAGAAAGAACAAATTTAGTCTCTTACGAAAGTAATACAGCAATCAGCAAGAGTTCTAACAAACTCAATTATACTTCGAGGAATGGTAACAAAATAAGTGAGGGAACTAATTGAGATTCAAATAGAGAAATTTTTACAATGAAAATAGTGTAAATTCCTGGCAACAAAGTAGGTTATATATAGATTAATTTGTAGCCATTCGAACTCTCTAAATACGTTTTCAAAATAGAAGTGACAATTCAGACAGCCTTCCAAAAACGAACATACAACTTTGTTCGAACTGAAACACTACGTCTATTAAAGTCTATTAATATATTTCCGTTGCATCAATTAACAAACGGGCACACCAAAAAATACGCGAAAACAAAGACAAGAACCCACCCACACCAAGCCCAAGTCGAGCTGATCCAACCAGACAATGACAACGCGCATGAGCTTACAATCGAATCCAATAGAATATAAATCTCCCCTTCCAAATACTAGTGGTATTCCTTAGGGTCCAAACCAAATTGTCAAACTTCAGCCACATAAACCACAAAAGTTTCTAAGGTTTCCCATATGGAACAAGCATCCAATATTTTATTAAATCAAATTCTTCACTTGAAGTTTCAAGTGGGTAACTTTGAAATCAAATATTTCATTCAATTATAATGATTTTTGATAAATAAATATATCACGTTAATCACCTCACGAAGTAAAACACATGAATATGCTTGGTCCTGTTAATATTGGAATATGCATCCCACTTCTATTAAACCATTTCCAACCATCTTATATTTGTATGAAAATACAAAAGAAAATACTGTAAAATAGACTTGCTCAAAAACATAGGAACCAGGGAATTCAAAAGTTCAACATCCTATTGAAAATTTAGCTAAATAGCAACGCCAATGCAATTAATCCCATGATTAGTACGCCCTACTCAAATTGAAGGGGGGAAAGAAGATTCTCAACTAATTTAAAACAGTAATCAATCTTTTCCTTCACACAGTACCGCGGAGCTAACGGGATGAAAAAGCCTCCATATGCCGTCATACTCGTTACTACTACCTTAAATATCTAACTTGGACCTCTAAGAACTAAGTTGCTGATGCCAATCTGTCACATTTAATGGTCACAACTAAACATTCACAAAAGTTAGAACCTTGTGCTACAGTTGGTTTTCGGCCATCATTCACCCGCCCAGTTGCTCGAAGATGTTTTCAGTAAACCTTGATATTCAACAGTATCACTGCTCAAAAGGGACACGGATGAGGAGGCGCCCATGCAACATAACCACAGCAGAAGTATGTACGTGATCAATTTTCGCAGGGAAGCTCACCACCTGAAAACCACCAACTGAATTAGGTAATTCTAATCCTTAACTGTTCAAAATACGATAAAAGTTGAGCACTGGCACTAATATGCAACTGAACCAGCTATTGAATTCGCTTTCAAATTTCACTGTGTGGCACTCGATAAACACAATTTAGACAGTGGGAAGTAACATAAGATGAAGATACAACGTGCTTAGCTGATGTAAAGCGAAAAATAAAAGGGTAAGAGATGACACACAATATTATTCAACCTTACATCTGGAGCACAAACTGGCGGCAATTGAACTTTTCTTTTCCATTTTGCCATGCAAAGGAAAACTCAATATTGTCGGATAAAAATTTAGAATGTGAACAAAATGCGAACCAAGTTTCTCAACTTATATATGGTTACGTAATTCAGAGTCACAAAGTACGGCACAGCCTGTGATGCTAATGTGTAAATGCTATATATTTGTCATAAACGTCCTGCTCAAACTTACAAAACACATACCTTTTTAAATGCTGTGATACCCCAGGGATTTTCAGGTTGCTCTGGCACACCTGTTATGACTAAACGTCCAGCAGGATCTGATTGAACACGCACCTATGTTTACCGATAAGGCATGAATATCATCTTGTAATTTTAATTCACTAGCTCATAATGAGCATATGAGAAAAATGCATCTTACACAAGGTCTTGGTGGTTAACATAAGGAAAAGAAATAGATACACATCATCACTAGATGTAGATTCCATATTCGTAGATCAAAATTTACGCGGTGTCCAACTTACAAAATATAAAAGGTGGATGCAAAAGCAACACGAATGGGAACAACATTAGCTATGTTGATTACTAGCACTATAAATTATGAGAAGAATAGAGACGAGAAGTGTGAAAAGCTTCATTATGACTATCATCAACTCGTCATACCTGCAAATACTAAGAAATACACTAAAGGACTCTACATCAACATAATGGTGACCCTAAATGAAAATCTTTAATTAACAAAACCAAGAGATGGTATGAATGCTTCTACTGTCAGTGCCCTCTAAGAAATGTCACTATTGGATTGATAGGATGCTCACTAGATTCAGATATAGCATTTTCAAATACACAATATACTGGAACATACACCTGAGCAGCTGAGCAGGGAAAACAGCTGATGAAAGGACGACCATGAACAATCAATCTGAAATTTATATATATTGGTCTGACAAGTGACAGCTAATCAATCATTCAATATCCATGAAAAAAACTTAAGCTTGCAAATCACAATATAATTTAGATTTTTCTTTATAAATCTAATATCCATGTGCAAAGGGTGACAAATTCACACAATAATATAATGTTTTAAATAGGAAACAAGGAGGGGGCAGTCAACAGACATGAGAAAAGGAACTAAGACAGCAGTACATACCTCTTCGCGCAAAAGCCCAGGTATTAGGGCATAAACCTCGAAACAATCTTTCTGCAGATAAAGAATGAGTTGAAGTCAGAATTTATCCCCATGCATGCAAGAGTAATGCGGACATATACAAGAGGGGGGGGGGGGGGGGCATTAACCATTATAGAACAGTCTATCTTCCAGCTTAGCTCAAAATTGCAGGACCAGGCTAGTTAATTTAGCACAGTTAATCCAGAGCTTTTCCAGAAATCATTTGGAAAAACAGAAACAAGGTACATCATAAATAAGTCACAGATCGCCTAATATAGTAAGATATAGTTTAAAAGGTAAATTGACAAGTTAAAGCCGCATCAACCATCAAAGGTAGCATTTTTAAATACAAAGGTGCTACCTAATACATATGTACTCAATTATCATGCAAAACAATGCATAAATTTGTGATACAGTTAGAAGCATTAAGGGCATCCTCATTTAGCATTCATTTTGACCACACGTCTAAACAAGCTCTGTTTGAACTGATATGATTTTCAAATTCAAAAATATTCTGTTTTTAAATATACCATAATTCATCAAGAGGGAGCCAACTAGCCAGCAAATTATAAGATTGGTTTACTTGCAGGGAGACAGCCATCACTGTTATTATTATATGTGGAAAAACAAGGTTAAGCATACAAAGTCATATCCCCTCATACAAAGTTCAACTCAAATATGTCAACTTGACAAGTTAAAGATGCAGCAACCATTGAAGGAATTGTCTTCAAAATAACAGTTTGTTTCTTTTGTTAGGAAACACCAAGGTCAGACCTAAGAAGCACGAACATGGACACGACATGATACGGACACGGACGTGTCTTTAAACTTATAAATTTTATATTATATCTCTATTTATACTTTTAATATAAGACATGGAATAGGCCATGTTGAACACTGGTCAAGGAACGTTGATAGATTCTGCCCAGGATATTATCAATTACTATGAAAAAAACAAAAAAATAGGACTGAAATGCAGACTTGTATTGATGGAAATGTGAATTACAAAAGAAACAGAACAGAATGATAGGCAGCCGTTTGAGAGGGCTGTATATCTCCACACTCTTACTGAAATATTTTTTTGCATGACTATCCTTTTCCCAACCCTTTTCTATTTATAGACTGCTAATAACTGATTTTGCCTTCCTCATTCTACCCCTCTAACAGAATTTGTTACTGCCTCCATCTTCCCCACTCTTCTTGATTCTTCTAGAATAAGTATACTTACTTGGGGGCTTATCAAATGTCTCTAAAGTATCCCTCAAGCGTTAATAATTTAAAAAAATACATTAAAAAAAGGACACAGCACATGCTTGTCTGATGCATGTCATGGAGTGTTTGAGGAGCATCGTCATCCAACACGACATGAGTCGAAGATGACACGCCACCCTAATAGGAATATCCATGCTTCATAGGGTAAGACCTAGTACATCTCTGTACCCCAATCATCGTTCAAATGAATAATTAAACTTTTGAGACAAAAGTACATAATCCTCTTTTTTATTTATTTTGACTGCTCAGCTAAACAAGCATCCTTTTAAAGTGAGACAACATACCAAGCGGAGTTCATTCTCACCTTCAACATTATTCCAAAGCTCAAATAAACAATAAATCATCCAAACTGAATTACCAGGTATAAGAAAACTATAAACTCAGTTTGCTTTCGGGGCTAATTCCATCATTATTTCTGTAGTTACAATGTAAGATCAGAAAATAGACTTCAACGACAAATGTCAAAAAAATCTGCCTTACGGATGGTATTCCATCTGTAAAACACGCCTGCAAGGGAATTGACGGCATTGTTACGAGGAACAAACTGAAAAAGCATGATACTCAAATCTAAAACAGAACCCAAGAAGAGACTAAATGATGCAATTGATGATCTCGGATTTCACTTCTCAGTCAAAAGTAAATATAGTTTATTATACAAGTAGGTCAGCCTACTTTTGACAGAAATAAATCAAAAGATGAGAGTAATCATGGTAAGCCAAGACTTAACTGCTTAGATGTCTCAGTTCGTGCTGCTTTCACTGAATGCTCCTCTTCACTTGGTCTCTTCTGTTTGAGTGAGCCTAAATTCACAAGTACACAAAACAAATAAGCTTTTCATTTTTCCATTATATAAAAAAAAAAAAAGGGGACGAAACATATGATAAGCAACTATCAGATCTTGATCCTGCATCTGAATTCCAGGGTGAAAAGGTTAATATCATTCCATATTATACCATTTCAAAGATGTTAAAAAAAGGAGCATTATATATAAGACAATTTCAGACTGAAGTAAGCTTACCAATGCTTTTGAGATTTTTCTCACGCTTAGCCACATTGTTGAGATTCTTGTCCTGTTAAAAAATGTAAATAATTACTCAGGTACTCCTTATGAGGGCAAAAATACAACCCATGAGATAACCTAAAGAATTTAATTTCCAGACCTTGATGATTGGCTCACCAACCTCGCCATGACCAGAAAGACGCCCATGCCAACCCTGCATAGCACGAGCAGCAGCATCTCTCCGAGCCCTGCCTGATCCAGATCCTTGATATCCATTTCCCTGTGTAATTCATCTAGAACAATCTAATCATATTGCATATTAGATACTGTTGAAAGCTTGTTATCTTAAGATCTTTATTTCATGTTTAATGATGGTAGTTAATAGATTGTAATTAATCACCTATTACTTAGGTCAGATGTTCTATGTATCTAGGAGCCACATCCTTTTCATCTAAAATTTAGGATGTCAGGATACAGCTAAAAAAAGGATCCAAGATATATGAACAGGTACGTGAATACATCCTATAAACATAATATTTTTTGAATAAATTATATAGTAATTTTAGACACATTTTTAGGGATGTGTATTGTATGATTTATTAAAATAATATCATTCTATGGAAGCGGGCGGCTAGAAGCTCAGCCCAGTTTTTTTGGTGTCGTAGGGGAGGGAATAATATATAATTAAATATTTATTATTATTTTTTCTATGTTGCCTTTTGAAAATAAAAAATGTCAAACGCGCAGGTCATTTAATTAATTAGATCAATTTCTTAAATTAAATCTACTGGGTCCAAATACATAAATTGGAATTGGTCATCTAATTAATTGGCCCACAACCTACTTCAGCAGATTTATCTTTCACGTTCTATTTTCATCAATTTCCAGAAGGTTCAATCTGCCTCTGCCATATTCACTGCCTTTCCCATTTTCTCAGCTTTCTTTCTCCTAAACTATCTCTAGGCTTTAAAGTGTACTTTTTTAGGGTTATTTACCCACAAAAAAGGAGTTCAAGCGTTATCATCCCCCTACAAAAAGATTTTTTGTCACTATAGATGTCGTCTTTTGAGAATCTTTCTTATTTTTCTCCGAAGAAGATTCTGAGAAAATACATAATGAAAATCAGCTCCTCCCATAATCTACAGGATCTTATTAATGCTGAAACTGGTCTGCCTGTCGGTCGAATTGATGCCATTGGTGCATCTCAACCATGACAAGGACATGAATCATGTAATGGACAGCAAAATGAACTACATCTGCAGCAAGTTTCACTAAAGGAAGATCAAGAAAAAAAATCAGATGCTAACTTGGTAAATGGTACAGCTCCACAATAGATTTCTAGTCCTCTTGTATAATCTCAAAGATAGAGAAACTGAGCCGTTGAAACTCTCCCTCATGACCAGTGTTCAACTCCCCGTAAAGGTGACTCTAAATACCTATCACCAATTAAATCCTTAAGAGAAAATGAGCTCGATGTTCCCATTGCAGTAAGAAAATGAGTTAGGAACCGGACTAAACATCCCATCACTAAGTTTGTTTCTTATTTTTGTCTTAATTCTTTGTCTAAGGCCTTCATTTCAAGTTTATCGTCTGAGCATGTCCAAAAGGACCCAAATGATGAGGCTCTAAAAGATCCTAGTGGAAGTACGCTGTCATGGAAGAATTAAGAGCTCTGAAAAAATTGAAACCTAGGAGATTATTGAGTTACCTAAAAGAAAGAGATCAGTGGGTATGAAAGGTATAAAACAAGATTAGTGTTACACCTAAACACATTGAGTAATAAAAGATCTTTGCTCCCATAGCCAAAATGAATTCAATCCATGTTATTCTTTGAGTTGCTAGTAATCTTTATTGGCCTTTTCATGAATGCGATGTCAAAAATGCTTTTCTCCATAGCCCCTAAGAAGAAGTATACATGGATCCTCCATCTAGAATTGAAGTTGTTCTGGAAACCGTAAGGTATGCAAACTAAAAAAAAAAAAAATCCTATTTACTGGCTAAAAGCCTAAAACAATCTCCAAGGACATGGTTTGAAAGGTTTGTGAAATGCCTAGGATCACTCAAAGATAAGGAGATCATACATTATTCAATAAACACTAGATCTTCAAGAAAATAATAATACTATTATTTACATAGATGGCATAATTGTTACAGGTGATGGAGATCAAAAACATGAAATGTCGACTAAGAACGGAACTTGAAATCAAAGGTCTGGGTAACTTGAGGTATTTTCGTGGAATTGAAGTAGCTAGGTCTAAAGCTAGAGTCTTTTTGTCTTGAACTAAATGTATTATGAATTTGTTAAAGGAAAGAGGTATGATGGATACTAACTGAAACACCAATTGATCCAAATCACAATCGGGCTCACTACTGATGGGAAGCTTATGGATATGGGGAGATTCCAGAGACTTGTTGGAAAACACATTTAATCGTCTCATACTCAACTCGGTTTACGCGATAAGCATGCTTCGCCAATTCATGCACGCGCCATTAGACTGCCACATGGGTTGTTCAAAGAATTTAGGTCTATAAAAGCTATAGCAGGAAAAGGGTTACACTTCTCCAAAAAAAAATAAATAAATAAATAAATAATAAAAAGAGGATATTTACAGGTTGAACCATACACATGCTGATTGGGCTAGCTCTATTTCTGTAATCGATTGAAATTAGGTTAAAGCACATTTTTCAAAGGAAACATATGACATGGATAAGTTAATCAAGTGCTGAAGCCAAATTTAGAGCCATAACACATGGAAATTGGAATTTGTGAAGTTCAGAGCCATAACGGTGATTGTCTTCATTATTCAGTTTATACTAAAATATTTTGTAAGGTTTTTCCGAATAAGTTAGAAAGTATTAGATAAAAAATCCTAAAACGTACTTAAACAGTTATACGTGCACAAGCACATATATACGCACACATTTTGCTTACATGAAAAGCTATCACAGCTACGCTCGAAAGGGCGGGGCTTAGGTGGCCTAGGCATGAGGCATAAGGAAGGCATGGAAAATGGTGGGCAACCGTATTTTGACGACCTAATGCAAGCCATAGGCAACAAAATGGTGCGAATAATGCAGTCCAAAACACCAGAAGGTGCACACCTTTTTATTTTTTCTTGTTTATTTTTTAAGGTTAAATAAATTAATTATATAAAAAGAATATTTATTAATGGTGTTTAAATAATTTAAAAAATTATTAGTAGTCCTAGAATAATTAAAATAATATTAAAAATAGAGACACATTATTACATCTAGGCTACTCGTAAGGCTTTGAGGCTTGATATTGCCGCCTTGCAACGCCTTAAGCCTTAGAACCTTAATCATAGCCCGCCAAAGCGGAAGTATAAATAAACATACAATTCAATAATTTTACATAAAAAAATAATTTGGATAACAAGCATATTATTTTCAAATAAATGTTTATGAGAAAATGAGTGGTTAAAATAACAAAACTCAAAAACGAGTTACTCCAATAGAGAAGGTAGATAGGGTAAGAGTTTAAGTAGATGACAGAGTAGTCAATGAATAGGAAGATATGCCAGTTTAATTTTCCCCCACAATTCAAATAGGTTAGTTACGTGTACATGTTAATATGCACATGGTCCAACTGATGACATTTTTTCCCTAGAAGTTCTTGTGGAACCAAATTTCCCATGAATGTATAGCAAGCATCCAACAAGGAAAGGAACATGTTAATTAAAATTAAATGCGAATTACCTCACTGTGAACACCTGGAGCTTCAGGCAGCGTAAGATCTGGGAGCTGAAGCTCGCCGCTTTGTGTCTTGTGCCGTTCATATTCCAGAAGTGACTAGAACATGACAGGAGAATTTTTTATTTTTTATTCTTACTTTGGGGGTGGGGGGCTGAAATCAGTAATTGAATGAGACAGAGCATAGGACCTAATTATAACAGATAAAATATACATGAACACAGTCATTACAAAAGCAATCAAAATAATCACGTGTGCTTTTTCATACATCTTTGGAATATCCATATCTCATTTCTTTCAATTTTTTCGAAGGATGGTGAAGTCCTAAATTTTTATTTATTTATTTATTTTTGATACGGAGGTCCTAAAAAATGACCAATTGATTATTTAAATATATCAAGAAAAATTTGCTCATAGTGTATAGCATAAACACAGCTAGTGGGAAAAAACCACATGAACATTGCAATGACAAGAAATTGGAAAGTGAAGTTTTGAGAGTTGCCTTCTCATAAAATATACGGAATGTCCAAGAAACAGTTGTACAAGTCCTGCAAGAAAAAAGAGAATGAATCAGTATCCGGAAACTACTTTCCATGTGTAAGTCAAGCAAATCACAATTAAAAATCTGAAAAGCCACGTCAGGTTTTCTTTGGGTTTCATTATTGCAAAATTATTTAGCACCAATAATTTAATGATAAAAGCTATTCCAACAGTTGTGGGTACAAGTGCATTTTCATATCCCAGCTTAAAAATTAAAAGCAGTCCAAAAAAGCACTATATTTAGAGATATAACTTCTACATAGAAGCATACGTTAACAAACCAAAATAAAGAAAAAAAGTAACAGAGATATGAAAGCCTTTACTTTGGGGGATGGAATGATTCTCCCACTTGCCTCCACAATTTTAATCCAGTCACCTGTATTGGAGATCAATCAAAATCATAAACACTGAAGCAAACATCTGATATAATTGTCATCGACACGTTGCAACACCCATAATGCTTAATTGATGCAAGTATTCAAAATCAAAATACTCACGGTTCTATAGCAATATTATGGCATAAAGAACTTGTTCGTACAAGGTTGTAGAGTATAGCTAATTACTTAATTATATTTCAAGATTTTTGCAAGTAGGAAGGATGTATCAATAGATATAGTGAACACGAATAAAGTTCATGTTTACCATATCACAAACAATGAATTACTTATTGAAACATAAAAATGTTTGTGATTGTAGAGAACGTCACTCAGTTTGTACATGTGTTGCATTTGATCAAGAGAGAGAACAAGACAATCCACAACTAGGAGTGGGGATGGAAACAATGACACCTGAGGCAGGGAAAAGATGTACAAGGAAAGAAGGCTTTTAAAGCAACTTGGAAGCAAAAAACTCCGGGAGCAGTGTGAACTGTGTTTCTAAGATTGTACCTGAATTTTAAATGATAAACATGTTATGAAGATTTCCAAATTTTAGTCAAGTTGGATAGTGCAGGTTCTTTACCACACATGAAATGATTATACAACTTGCTCAAGTCGGTACATAGGTCAGACAATCTTTACCAAAAGTGACTGAAAATGTTTTGGCTCCACCCACAGGTACAACCAAACGACGGTGACTGTAAGGAGACAATCATAAAAACGACACGTCTGCATACTTAATTTTTTATGCATACTGTAATGATAAAGTTGGCAGAATACAAGAACTTACATTGAACCCATAACACCAAAAGACAGGTTTATATTAAGGATGGATCCTTACCTTAATTGGGCAAAAACTCAAATAATCCTTTGTGTGACAATGAGGCAAAATATTTAATATGATTCCTTCAAGAGAGTAGCTAGCCATGTGACTATCATGTTAATCGCATAAAGTTACAATTCGTATATCTATGGCAAGAAGCAAATACAAAATGAATAGAGGGGTTCCAGCATGACAGAATCGATGATGTAACCACCTCATGAGGCTGTGTGTAAAATGTCAAGTGATTTAGCAGGTATTTCTTCAAATGTCAATTGTTTTAAGATTTTACGCTGTTTGATTCATGCACCTAAGTCAATCAGAAACTATTGGTTACAATAATAAAGCTTATTTTCTCTTCAGTGAAGCTTGAATGCTCATATGAAGTCGTCCGATGGAATCAAAATAATTTCTTCACAGCATATTTTCATATATAACATGGACTGTCCATGCAATTACAATGCAAACATAGGAGGGCAAAAAAATGCAACTTCCATGAGTTCGTGCAAGAAAAGTTCAACTTGTTCACTATGCACTGTTATTTCTAATTCTGTACGGGAAAAGATAGTGGAGGGATGCAAGGAGGAAAAAGAAGGTAGGACTAAATCTAGATTGGCATAATTTTCATCTGCTGGATTTAAAAGTTCTTCTTTTCACCTGTGTTAGAATTGGCTTGTGACCTGAATTCGTGTTGAGTATTTGATTGGAACTATTGTTGGAGTATTGGGAGTCGGTAACAGACTTGAAGATGTCTTGAAGGAGTTCAAGGTGAATTTGACTCATATTTTATCCCAAACTCTCCTTTATTGGTTTTACCTATTGTATTGGGACTTCACCTTATATTAAACTCTTCATGTATTAATTCTCCTAATATGTTAGGGATTCTTTTGTTATAAATATGTTGTGTACAACACATATTAGAATTGACCGATTGTCCAATTAATTATTGGTCCAAACAGATCCTTTATATCTCCTTACTATTGATTATAGTGAATTCTCAGCTTCTGCACGTGATTTTCCTGGATTTGGGTTTCCACAATAAATCTTGTTTTCTTTGTGTCCATTATTTTCATATTGCTCTTATTTTCTAGTTCTTTAATTATCTGGCCGAATTTTCAACAAATTGGTATCAAAACTGTTCCACTTTCAACAAAGTGGTCTCAGTTTTTGTCCGAATTATAACAACCTGCTATCACTGTTCAATAACTCATCCCTCTAATACAAAAAATTGTTCCTTATATCAAGATAACCGTGCCACACTATATGCATCATCATCTAAAATTTTTTATTTATAATGAGGACTCAAGAGTTGCAACATAATAGACGGAAAAGTAAGAAAAATAAAAATACGACATGCATACCCGATCATAGCCACCTAATCTAATCACAGCTCTCCATAACCTGGCAGTCAGAAAGCAAAGAAATGATTGGTCACACAAGAACAGAGTCACAGACTCAACAAAATCAATTAACTGCAACCTTACTTTAGACAATTTAGTGGCTGCCCATAAAATTTGAGAGGTTTAAAATCCATTGACTTCTCCCTGTAAAACCTTTCAAGTTCCTTCATGAATGCTACTTGATCTTCTGGTGCTCCATCATCACCCTCCACCATCTAACATTCGGAAAAAATCAATGACAATCAAAATCTATGGTGTTTGCCACTTCACATTAATACTCATTTTTTCAAGTCAACTTTGGAATATTCTTTTTCTGCTTTTACTCTATTTTCCATAAGTACCTCTGATTGACTAAAAAAGGTTTTGACTGTTTCTTCACTATGATCTCCAGCAACTGTAGTTGAATATTTGATGAGGGAATTGGATGTGACAGATTCTAGTTTGGTTGGAAGGGAAGTATCATCAACAGTTTCACTCATCTTGGCATTTCCATCAGTTACAGTACTAGAATAAACAATTTCATTGCCTGGTTCTTTCAGCTTATCATGAACTGTTTCATCCTCATTCTCGTGAACCACGTCTGCCATCTTTTCATCCTCAACCTGTGCAGGATCACCCTCATTAGAAGGAATTGTAGTTTCATTTGACTTGGTATTTCCATCATTTTCTGGTTCATTCACCCTATCTTTAACTGTTTCAGTCTCCTCATCAACAACATCTGCGATCTTTTCATTCTCAACCTCTGCAGGATCACCCTGAATTAGAGGAATTGCAGTTTCACTCGAGTTGGCATTTCCATTTGTTACAGTACTGGCAGATTCAAATTCATTGCCTGGTTCTTTCAACTCATCTTTAACTATTTCCTTCTCATTCTTATGAACCACATCTGCCATCTTTTCATTCTCACCATGTGCAGGATCACCCTCCCTTGGAGGAGTCGCCATTGCAGATAATTCAGTTGGAAGTTGCTCACTTTCACAAGAGATTTTCTCTACATTAGTATTTTCCCATAGTTTTTCTTCTTCTGAAACGTTGGTAACTGGGTTTCCATCCTCTCTACCAATTTCATAATCCTTTTTCTCCTCTGCAACAATTTCAGCAGGCTTTTCTTCTCCCATCACATTTCCAATAGCATCTCCACCAGCCATGCCATATCCAGCAAAGTTTTCTTCTTTAACTCCTCCACTGTTGGTTTGAGCAGCAGTTTGTTCATTGACCTCGTCAACCTTGTCGTCTGCAACACTTTTAGCATTGCCTACTTCATTCACACTGGCATTTGCTTTGTGTGTACCAGAAGCGGCATTCTCACAGGCATTTGCTTTGTCAACACCAGAAGCTGCAGAAGGCAATTCTTCTGCTTGAGATTCAACTTCTGCTTCAAGCAGATCATTCTCTGAATCTTGGGGCAGCTTTTTAGCATTCTCCATCTCTACATTAGTTTTATCCATTTTTGAAATCTAGCCAAAAACAACCATCATTCCATCAAAACATCACAAATAACCTATTTTTCAACCTCAGGAGAAAAGGAGAGAGATAGCATGACAAATACAAAACAAACCTTAATGTAAAACTAAAGAAAACAAATTTAAATTTAATTTGATCCTCCCCTAACAATCAGAGTCTTTTAATTTATTCCTAAATTAGATAAGAGTTGTTAAACTTTCACGAAAAGAAACCCTAGTTTCGTACAAAAACCAGACTTTAGAAAAACAAAAAACAAAAAATCCAATTTATGATCAAAACTTCATAAGAAAATCCAGAAATCGTAATAAGGGAAAAAAATTGATGAGATTTTACTTTTTTCAAGTTCATGTATGTGACGGAAATTCCAAAAAAAGGCAGATCCATGAATTGACAGCTATTAAACTTGCCTCAAAGGAAACGGTGACTGCCTAAGCTTCAGGAGGAGCTTGCAGTTTCAATGGAGCAATATAATCTAGGTTTTGGCTATTTTTCAGAAAGAGGGAAATGAGGAAGCGGTGAGTGAGTGTGAGCATACATATGAGTGTACTATAGAGTTAAAATGGGGAAAACCAAGGGGTAAAATTGCGAAACCCAAGGGCGTTTATTAAAAGGTAAGTCATTAATACATTTAGATTATTGTTAGACATCAAAATCTTGGCAATGAGAGTTTTTTGTGTAAATGCCAGAGAGAAATAAAAATGCCACAGGCCCACAGCAATGCACTGATTATACGGTTTCAGAGTTCAAAAGAACAGTTTTGGCTCACTCGGGTATGAAGTCTTGAGTCAGCCGTAAAAAAGATACTTTGAATTAAATTGAGGAAATATCTTAGCACATTTTTTATTGTCATTATTACCTTTACTCTCAGATAAATTAAAGGAAAAAGATCAGAGAAATTAGATGAAGATAAGAAATTTGTTAGTGCAATCATTATTTTTCTCTATAGATATCTCAAATGTTAAATGTTTTGCTCTATGAAATGAATTTTAATTTTTTATCATCTATTTCGAGATTAAAGAAAATCTCCATGGCCAAGAACGGTTGAAAGAGTATTTATGGATTTCTGCCAAGAATCACGCTACATTCAATAATGAAACAATCATTAAGATCTATTCTTTTTTCCTTTAATATCATGTGTAAAAAAGACTCTACTCATATTTTCATCATTAAGTGTACACGTGAACCCATAATGTTTTCCTACTTTTTGACCACGTGTTCTTAAAAAATCATTTTTTCACTTCAAACGATCTCTTCCAAACAAATCCTAAATGAACATACGAATATATTATCTTGTGCTAATATTATTGAAGAGTCAATGTGGCCGTATTAATTGACATTAGTGTATTTTACTTTTTTGACATAGCATACACTGGTATAAACAAACATGTATTTTATAACCAATATTGGTTCAAAATATTAATTCATTTAAGAGCTAAAAACTATTAAGTGTTTAAGAAAATTTCAATGGACTTATGTTGTGAAGTTCAAGAAAACCTACTACTTCACAAGAAACTTTACAAATCAAGGTATGATACAAAATTTAAGTATTACTAAAGAGGAAAAATAAATTAAAATATTATTCTTGGTGCTACCTAATATAGTTCAACACTACATATTAAACATGCTCTAAAAATATGTAGCAAAGGTAAGCTATAACATCTTAGGCCTAATGGCTTCTCCACCCCCATAAAAGAAAAGAGATCGGTGAAACTCTCTGTAAACATGCTAAATTCAGAACATCAACAATTCTTGTACATCCAAGCTAACATGCTGTATAGACCTATTTTTAAAACTCTAACAGTATTTCAAATCTAATTTGACCCCACCTAATATCTCACATCGTCCATAAAAAGGTTGTATTGTGGGTTTATAAGCTCTTTGAGGAGTGATCACCCTACCCTTACAAGCTGGTTTTAAGGTTGAGTTCTACCAAAGTGAATGCTATTATTAGTATCAGGCAGGCACCCAATCTTAGGACCCTCTGTTGCAGACGATTTGACCTGGGGAATGTTACTTTGAGTAGAAGACCGGATTAGTGGAGTCAATTGGCTAGGGAAAATGGGCCGCTGTGGGCATCAATTCTGGAGCGTGGTGGAATGAACTAATTGTATCCCACATAAGCTTATAAGCAATTTGCACATTCTCTCCTTTGCAAGCAGGATTTAAGGCGAGTTCTAACCGAAGTGGTTATTATATACCCTAACAATCACAGTCTTTTAACTTATTCCTCAATTAGTCAAGAGTATACACAATTTCATGGAAAAAAACCAGACTTCACCATTTCCAAATTATGAACAAAACCCCATAAGAAAATCCAGAAATCACCAAAAAATGGGAAAATAATTGATGTTTC